CGCAGAGCAGTGATTGAGACTGAGGCTGACATGGTGCTAAAGCTCCCCGAGGTGATCCCCCTGTTGGACAGCGACAAGATCCTAGTCTTTGGCCCGAGGAGGAGTGTGGGGATGCTTCGCTTTAAGGAACGCGATGGAGAAAACTTCGCCCAGCTCCGAGAGAGGATGTGGAAAGTTGTGAGGGCTATCGCGCAAGCCAAGGTAAGCTTCCCCAGCGCGAAAGATGTTGGAGAAGAGAAGGTTGCGTGGGTGGCGTTTGTCAAGACCAAAACCGCCCGAAGCCGCACCGCGCACATAAGCATGGTCAGACGCGTGGTTATTGCGCTCGCCTCTGAGGTCAAGGATGACGGGGGTGGTGTGTTGAACTTGGACCATACACTCCAGTCTTCTTACGATATGGATTGGAACGCAGGCACCATTTGGTGCGGACCTCAGAAGATTGCGTCCGCGACTCACAGGGCTCCCCGCGGGGTTGAAGTTATCACTATGTCCGGTGGCTGGGTGGACCTTGACTCAGTTGGACTGGTGACAGGCTGCTCGGTGGACGTGGCGAAACGAGCCTTCGAGCTCGAGCTGTGACAAAGGACCGGGTCGAGTTTCACTCCTTCCCCACGACCTTCTCAGCCTAAGGCTTCGGACGCGGGGGTGGATAAGGTGAGCCCTGACCTGTGTGAAAAACATCGTTGGGGGCGAGCTTTGCAGTGGAATTTGGGTGGACAAGAGCTAAATTTGCTTGATATTGCCGCCCTGGATGCAGACATTATCTTTGTACAAGAAGTCGCTCGTCGTGGACCTGGATGGCAATGCAAGGACTCCGACCACTTTCACTGGGTGTCGTTTCAAGATGAAGACATGTGGCGAGGTGTCGCGGTAGGGGTGGCCATTGATAAACTTGACTGCGTGATCGCGAAGAGGGCAACCAAACGGGGCATCTGGATTCTGGCGAGGATCTCTGGCTTGGGGAGAGTTGTCTTGGGTTCCATTCATTGCTTGACTGGGGTGACCAATGGGAAGTATCAGGCTGCGGTGATCGAGTTCTTCCAATCTTGTCCTTCGGCGTGGAGGCACCTACCAGTTGTGTGTGGGGTGGACGTCAATGAAGTTCCACCTTGGGTTGATTTACCGGATGATGGCAGTCGTCATGGGGTTGAAGTTCTCGCGAATGGGTCCAGCAATCTCAATGTGTTCGTGGAACAAGCTGCACAAATGGGACTTCGGCCAGTTTGTCCTCTACCTGTGGACTTTC